TTCAACTTCTATAGATCAGCATTCCATCATTTAAATACATTTTTAAATATAGTAAAAAAACATGGCTTAGTAGTATCAACCAAAAAGTTGTCTTTATACCAAACAAAAATTAGATTTTTAGGACATAACATATACCAAGGAACTATTATTCCTATTTCAAGATCAATAGAATTAGCAGATAAATTCCCTGATGAATTAAGAGAAAAACGCAATTACAAAGATTTTAGGATGTCTGAATTATGTTTCAGATTTTCAACCAAATCCTAGAAAAACTATTCAACCATTATTTCAACATTTACAAAAAAATCCGAAACCTTGGACTAGTCAACATACTAAATTAGTTCAGCAAATTAAACAAAAGGTTAAAACTCTTCCTTGTCTAACTATACCAAACCCTGAAGCTCATATGATTGTTGAAACTGATGCTTCTGAGATTGGTTATGGCGGTATTTTAATTCAAAAACTCTCAGAATCTAGTCAAGAACCAACAGTTAGATTTCACTTTGGTGTTTGGTTCGGGCAACAGAAAAATTATTCCATTGTTAAGAAAGAGGTCATTTCTGTTGTTGATTGCATATCCAAATTTCAAGATGACTTAATCAATAAAAAAATTTTACTCCGCGTTGACTGTAAGTCGGCAAAGGAAATATTAAAAAAGGATGTTAAAAATTTTGTTTCTAAACAAATATTTGCCAGATGGCAAGCTATTTTATCCGTATTTGATTTTGACATTCAATATATTAAAGGTGAAAATAATTCTTTATCAGACTTTCTAACAAGAGAATATTTACAGGAAAAATCCACAGATATTCAACAACATATCCAAGATGGCTGACAAAAAGAACAACCGACCGATGAACGCATCGGACTATATCAAGAATCAGCCACATCTTCAGGGAAAACCCTTGAGTATTCAAAACCAATATTCAGCTCTTGCCGAATTCCCACCATTATCCTATTCAAAGGCCGTAGCCTCAGAAAAGGGCCAAGCCTCTCAACCTATTCAAGAACCTCAACAAAAATCAACCTATGTTTTAAAACCCCGAAAACAACGTATTCAAACTACCCATTAAACTCAAAGAACTTCAAGCCTATACCAATAGAATCTTTTACCCGGATAGCCTTTACTCAACAGATGACGTAACCAAAAATCGTACTTTTTATGAGTATATTCTGGTAGACTCTAGATCTATCGAAGTTACTCACTATCCAGAAAAAACAAACCCAAAGCTTATATCCTGTTCAACCTTTAAAATACTTCGTAGAGCCTCTCTTCAAGACCTTGGATTTTTACACCTCCATACTACCAAATCCTTTTCTGAACCTAGTTTTCCAGTTTCTGGGTATTCATACACGGATTACCAATATGCTTGGTTCTGTTTTCTATATCTATGTTCTTATGATCAATCCTGGTTTATTACCTTTGATCAAAAGGAGACAGATAACTCTGACTCAGCTGGACCCAAGAAGTAGACACGCACCAATTAGAATTCAACACGGAAAAGTAGAAGGCAAATAAGTCAACAAAGCTAATAATGAAGATTCCTTCACCTCCCATATAAATATCCAACTTCGGGATCAGAAGCAGGACACGAGCAATTTTCTGCAACCTTCTCTCTCTAAAAACTTCTCTCTACAAAGCATTCAA